ACAGAAGTTCACATATTATTATGTACAGCGTTCAAACTCCACAAAATATAATATTTTCTATGAAAAAAGTGTAAACAAATAACGAGTAATAATAGGTTTATTGTGTAACCTATACATATAAAATCCAAATACCACTAAGTCTCTGAGCGCTGTAATTCGAGAACTACGCAACGTACGAACTTGAAATTTGGAATAGAGGTTCTTCTCGTATTTTCACCGTGCACCAAGAAACTAAGAAAAGATTTTCAAAAATGTTGCCTTTTAGTGGAGTAATTAATAATTATAATTATTCATCGCCAATACGTATTGTGCTGCACTGCACGGGATCATTGTGGCTACCTGCAGGCTGCAACTTATCATTTTTGTTCTTCATGTAGATAAGAATTGTTCCGAGAAGTTATAGGGATATATTGTAAATATGAAAAAAATAAAAATACACACGGGCAAAGCGGGGCAATTCAGCTAGTAATATATATTATATTTAGTTAATAATATACGTATTAAGCAATATGTTAAAGAACAGCTGACTGGTTTTAACAAATGGTTCCTTTATTGTTTAAAATTTAAAATCATACATTTAAGAATTAAATGCTGCATAAATATTTTATTCAAGTATGTATTTTTGAAAACATACAATCATAATTAATTGTGACAAAAATAAATATCAATGACAAAAAAATACATTTCAAATATTTTAAACAAGAATTTAAATTTTGGTAGTATTTCGGCAGGCATTTGACCTAGTCAAAATGGTGGATGATTATTTCACATCATGGCTAAATTTAGCACTAGAAAAATAAGTATAGTAAAACCGACTGCATACCTATTTCAGTTCGAATAATTAAAGTAACTTGACTATATTATTTTAGTAAATCTAACTAATCTAATAAGTTATAGTTATCCTTATAGGCTATACAAATTATTAAATACAGTCAATCCTACTATTTTAATAGTTTAAATAACTGTTTTGATTTTTTCGTGTATGTTGTTGTGAATGCTAAGAACCCCTGGTTACTTATTATATGTAGAATATATTATGTTATTAGTATTAGTGATATTGTACACCACCTCCGGCCAAAACGGAATGTGCTGTATAACACAAGCGAGTCAGTCTTGGTTTTAACTCGGAGCCTTATGATAGTCAGAACCTCACATAACATTCGGAACATTCTATATTAATTATATTAATTTAGTAGCATCTGCTGTTATTAATGACACTTAATAAAGTTAAACTAGTTCTTGTCAATTTGTGTTGTGATTAAATTTATTTGTGACTGAACACCTAAGTGCGTTCATAACAATGTAGTTTATTGACTTAATAAAAAAAATATTTTGTAAATGAGTTTCATGGTAATATATTATTTTATATTCGTATCATAGATAATTAGTCAATGATTTCACCTCTGAACTTGACTTTTATAAGTATCAATGTATCATAATCATACTATCATTTAAACTATATTTTTATAATCATTGTTTTTAATTGTTTTGAAACAATAATCATTCAACTTGAACTGATAATATACATCGTATACGTCATAATATTCGTAACAAGTAACAATAATTGTGTTTGAAATGTTTGAATGCACTTTTCGATAAAGTATTGTAATAATATGCTATATGCAGTACTGGTAGTGTTTGTGTCTGTGTGTGTGTGTAAACTCAGATATAATAGGTAGGTATACCTCAGTACACAAAGACGTGACTCTCCATTATTTCCTACTTCATGTATTTCATAAAATTTAAAATGTAAGATTATCGTCAAGGCGCCGTAGATAGGCTACTAAAACCATCCCACCTTTGTCCAGGCATAGTATATCGCATTATCGCTTATATTGATAAAAATACGAGTTTGTTTGACACAAATTTTAAGAAAGTAGAAAATTAATAGTCGGCTCAACCAGCTGTATAACTTGTATACATCATAATTTAAAGTCTAGATTATTAATGTCTATTATCAAGTAGGTAATTTTTTAAACGGAAGTACCTACTAACGTTATACAAACGTAAGATATTGTCATATTGAGTTCCAAAAACATTTCATTTTAATATTAAATTCGATGATTTTTTTTTTGTCAATATCATATTTTGGAGTAATAAAAATGATTCAATCTTCTGCTTTGAGGGTAGTTTAATTTAGCAAATGAAATATATTTGGTAACTACTTATAGAAGTCGGAGGGACGTAGCCACGTAGGTAAAAATTACTTTTCGAATTAATCGGGAAAAATCATATTCAAAAGACAGATTTTATTTTTTTGTTATAATTCAAACATTAATAATCGTGGATGATTGAAATATTTATATTAACATATTCTATAAGCTGTATAAGTTTCAAAATATTTTCGTTTTTTTACTATTTATTGTAGACATTTGAAACTTTTTTCTTTGAATAATGATAAAAAAATTTAAGCTTAGCCAAGGCTTTAAAATTGTATACAAGTCACAAGATTCCTCATACCTACCTCATAAGTTTTCCATAAGCCTATTTAAAAATATAATACAAAATAGGCTCAGTTGTGTATTATATAAACAACTATTACAATTTGTTACAGTCAAAATGATGAAAATATGCAAATTAAATAATTTAGTAATATCTAGTAGGTAGTTAAACATTTATAATATTTAATACAAGATTCCATATCAATTTTGTTAACTGGAAATAAAAAAAAAGTAGAGCCTCAATCCATATTTATTTTTTATGAGCATTTGAAGTTAGAATTTTGACAAAGGTGCCTGATATTTAGTATTTTTGTTTCTCTTCAAATGATTTTAGTTGTTTGTTGTAAGTAAAAAAATCTCCCAAATTAACTAGTACCTATCTATAACACCCCTAAAATTTCCTTAAAAAACAGAATAAGATACATCCGAATTAATCAAAACCTGAATATAAGATCTTCATTAACTAATAAATCTAAATATTTTTTATTTGCAAATTGCATGTGGTACAATGATATGGCTTCTTTATATGTATTTTTTGCAGTTTTGTAGTTATGTGAGTGGGTGGAAATAGATTACATTTAAAAATATTAATTATCACAGCGACATTAATTATCTAAATTTACATTTTAATATAATATATTCTTAGTTATTGTTCAATAAATCATATTATTGTCTATCAATAATATTTTATGAATTAAAATAAAATTCTAAAGAATATCCTAGAAGAAAAAAAAATGAGGTACCAACATAAATTAAATATTTCTGAACAAATTAACACCAGTATAATAACCTATAGTAATTTGAATAATGAGTTATTAGCAGTTAGCACCCAAACATTCTATCTTCCATAATTATTTCTCACAGTGTCTGAACTTCAAAATGCACCCATCACCAGTTGCCTGAATCCCAGATAAATGTTTGAAGTGCTAAGCTCTGATTAAAGTGGGCAAATCACTGCTGTAGCAGATGTAAATAAAATTTGAATTGAATAATAAATTGTTGTAGGTATACAAAAAATGATTTTGAGTGGGACATTGTGTTAATTTGAGTTGTTCATTAGTACATTTATCTAAGTATAGTTTATATTATTAGTAATAATTTCTTAATTCAGTAGGTTAAACTAATTTAAATTAAAAGCATACCATATGCCACATAAGGTATTTTTATAACTTATGAGTAAAAAATACCGAAGTATAGTACAATGGCATGAATATTTTTTGTTTATAAAAAGCTCAACATTTGTCTACATATTTTGAAAATTACACAAAGCATTGTAAATGGAAAATCATAAAATATGACAAGGACAAAATTGTCAAATACTTGTCTATAATAAGTATTTTTTTTTTAATTACAACAAAGTAAATAAAATTGTAAAAAACATTATTTAAAAAAAATATATTACATTTTAAATTGCCTTTACTTATGCTATCATATTATATTTTCACAATATCTGTATTTTTTTATCATCATCTTTTGTATAGTTGACTATAGTATTTACACTTTTTAATAATATTCAAAAGCTAATTTTAGAAAAACAATTATATACAATTTTGATTTAAAACACTTGAATATTAGTTAAAATAAATGTTTGGTTATTCTAAACATAAAAAAATAAATATATGTATATACATACATTAAACAATTCAATTATTCATGTACACTTATATAAAAACAAAAATGACATAGTCAAAATGTTTGGAGAGTTAAAAAAAATTAATGATTTAAATAAGAAAGATGTAACAATTTAAGTCATTAAAATCACAATTAAAATTCTTCCCTACATAACATATTATTACTATTAATCAGTGGTGGTTTTGTGGGGGACAATAGGACTTTCCATGGAACTTGGTTAAATTTGTATAATAAATATTAAAAAAAAAAATTCAAGACAAATATTAACAGAAAATATTATAAAAATATACAAAAATAATAAAAAAGGTAATTATGCTTGAATAGTAATCACTTATCAGCACGAGGAAAAAAATATGTTGTATATTTTTTTTTGAGTTATAGTACTAAATTCACCTTTCCCCTAAAAAATATTATCAAAACCTACATGATTTAATTTAACACTTGGAATATATTGGTTATTTGTTGAGTATTACTTCATAAATGTAAACATACGTAATCAATTTCATTTATTATAACAATAATTATGATAATACAATAGTATGATTTTACCAACATCTAAATTTGTAAAAATTGGATACAAAATTTTAGTCTGATTAAAAATATTATAGATAAAATTACTATAAAAAAAATGTATTTGATATTTTATCACATAAGTATTTTTGTGTTGTATTATCATACAAAATTTGTACATAATATTTTGTTGTTAAAATTTACAAAATAAATAAAATATATATATAATGTCAGAAACAATAATAAAACAAAGATTTTCAACACAATTTTTAGAGAATAAATAATAAAATTTGTAGGACAGGTAACTAATCATACCAATGGAACTACTATTCTATCTTATAAATTATAAATAAACACATCACCAAAATAAATTACTAATGTGTAATGTGTTGTCTTAAAAATAAAATAAATTAATAATTAATTAATATTTTCTATCCGGGTCAGTACAATATGAATAATTATGACAATATATTCATAATGTACTATACAGTACACACAACCTGCTGAAATCGAAATGGATTGGCAATGTGGAATGTGTTGAATGATATTTTGTTACTCTTTATATCTCTCATCAAATGACAACAAACATCCAATTGCACCAAAGTAACCCTGAAAATGATAAATTGAATAATAATAGTTGCATTTAGAAGAGATAAATACACACACATATACATTCACTACTAATACTCACTAGTATCACTAGGTGGGGGAAGGTTAAGGTTATAAACAATCATGCAAATTACCTAAATATATATTTTATTTTGTATACATCTATTTTAATTGTTTTTATTAGTTTTGTACAGCTAGCTCACAATGTTAAATGAGTAATTTATTAAATGTATATTACAAGAAGTCTGGCTCATAAATGTAAAAATAAAGATAATATGAAAAAGAAAAAAGAAAACTAATTATCAATACAATTATAAATCATTGTGTAATGGCCTTGTTAAATATGCGTCGTTTAATTATAGAATATTTTATATTTAAAACATGAACGACATTAAATATATTATTATGCATGTCATAAACTAGCAACTATTTTAAAGATTAAATGTTTTACCTCATGGTTTAAAAATATAGCTTTCTGCGAACCATTTGACCAATAATCCATAGCATGTGACAATAATTTCATTGATATTGGGTTTACACGCAGAAAATTACCAACAAAACACACCTTAAAAAAAATTATAATTTTAATTTCATTGCTAATCCTTGTCAAAATAAATTAGAATTAATTACTCTATCAATTCTTTCATTTAATGCACACATTCTTGCAATCGATGCAATGTTGTTTGTAATAGTAACTAAAGTCGCTCTAGCCAAATCTTCTCTAGACACCTGGGCACGTTTCTCCTTAGAGTTCATATGGCCAAAACTATAACAAAAATATAGTTAGTTAACTAAAAAATTACACAATAATTATTTTTATTACCTGCTAGCAACAAGTTCTCCAGGCAGCCCAAATCTACTGTAACTACCTCCATAGATATCTCGAACCAATTTATCAACTTTAACATTATCACCATTTGCAGCCAATTCAATTGCCTCATCAAATGTATTACAGCCAGTCAACAAACTACACAGTCCCAAAAACGTACCACCTCCTATACTGAAATTGCAACAAAATAAGTTTTTAAAAAATATTTTATAATGATACACAATACAATTAATTCAATTTGAATGTGATTCGTCTTTACTAACCTCGTTCCAGATATTCTCTTATAATTATTTGGACCATAAACTGCCAATACACTTACACCAGAGCCTATATTCACAACCTACCAACCATAGACAATAATATTAATATACACTCACAATAACGGGTTAATATGTAATTATTATTTGTAATGTTGATTATACATACAATAAATGGATATTTATTATACTGGAATGTGTACTCTTGTGTTGAACACTGCTCGTCTTCAGTGCATTGTGACCAAAAATAACATTCGTTATTATTTGCAGCTACTGTAAATAATAAGCCACGAATCAGACTATCCAGTTCATCACATTTACACAGCTTTAAATTCAATTCCTGTAAAAAAATAAATCCATTATTAAAATAACTGTCGATAAAGTTATTTTGTTAAACTTTTATTTTGTATAGCTTATACATATGTCATTTGAGTAGCATTTAATGTTGACATAAGATATTTTAATCAAATCAAATTTAATTTAATATACTTAATAATAGATACATATAATCAAATATGTAAAAACAATTATATAATATTTAATTAGATATGGTTTAAATGCAGGATAGTGATTATTTCAAATAACATGAGTATTATCTGAACAGCATTACGTAAAACAAAACCAGAACATATCAATGTAATTTTTTAAAGAATTATATTCAGACTTATTGCCAATAAATGAAATACAATTTCAATGCAAACTAGTTTTTCTGATGTACTTAAAAACTGTATCAACTACAGTAAGTATACAATCAATTATGTGGAGACTTTTTGAAAATAATATTCAAAAGTCAAAAATCAAGTTGTTATTAATTTAATAAGAAGGGATAATTATATAAGAAACTAACTATATATAGTTACTAACAATTATCTAGGATAATAATGCATATCATTTATTATTGATTTATATGAATTAAAACAATAAGAACAATCATCCAATATTGAAATTTACAGAAATCATTAATAGTTATATTAAATTAAATATGTATATTTATGTTTCATTGGTAAAAATTTTCTGATGAAAAACATAATTTATTTTTAAGGTTTTTAAACAGATTTTAAAATTTAACTAATTTAAACTTAGCATAATTTAATTTAGTATTTGACATACTTAAATTTAAGTATGTGTAAAATTATTGTTAGATACCTAATTAATTTGAGTATTACACAAAAAGGAAATTGAACGATAAAATGGTGAAAAAATGATTTAAAATGTAGTATGGTTTTAGATTTAATAACATAGATAACATCATATAATTCATATTAAGAGGACACCATACCCACATTTTATGTCATATTTTACCAACCTACTACAACTTATAAAATTTGTGTTTAGCAGTTCCGATTTGTGGGATAGCCTTTAACTATAAAGAGAATTGACATATTATCAAACTTAAAGGTAAGAACATTATCCGTGATTTTCTGTAGGGTTTTAAGCAAATTATGAATATGTAAAATATAACAATTTAAAAATTCTCATAACTATAATGTTCTTACCTAATAACTTTAGGTTTGATTATAGGATCAATTACCTCTATTATTAAAGATAGTTACAAAAAATTAGACTTGTTGAACATACATTTGTTGGGTGTATATCTGTAAGACAGGCACAACACACGTGGGGTAAAGAAAAATACCTATATATTTCAATTAATAGAAAAAAAATTTTATGAACCAAAAGTTTTAATGAATCTGTTAAATTAACATAATATAAAGAAACACAATTTTATAAGGATAATATAATAAACTTGAGCCTTACATTTTTAAAAATGTCTTCAAATTTGAATGCTCCACCACCAGTAGCACAAACAGTAGATACACTAGCTGCCATACCTTTCTTCTTGGATAGATCCAAAAAATTGTTCATTTCACTAGTGGGGAATCTGATGAAATGCAATGTACCTATCCTGTTGCAGATTTGTACATTATCCATCTGTGAACAAATCACCAATTGTAAAAATGAGATCTGTAGAAATAAAAAAATAAAAAATTAATGCTCACCTGTTGGTGTGCATCTCTGTGTCCAGATTTTCCGTAAGCAGAATTCTTAGTCAAATATTTGGTAACATTGGACAAGAGTTGGGTTTCATCTTCAGTTTGTGCTGTAATCGAGTCTTTTGGTTCGAAAAATACGAGTTTTGATAATGTTCCGCCTATATCCATACCAAACCATGGCATAGCTAACAACCAAAACAAAACATGCTATTATATTCAAACTACAATTTTATTTTATTTGTAATAAATTATTAGGTATATATAAATACAAGGCGGGGATTAACGAGTTAAAAAATTAAAGTTAAGTTTAAAAGTTTATTTAATTTTAATTTTTAAGCTTACAAGTTACTTATAGATTATCATTAGCTTAACTATTATCTTACTAAATTAATTGTTGAAGTAACACGAAATCAAAGAATTTATTTTTAATTTTAAGAAGCAAGGTAAGTTAATTTATTTTGTTTTCAATTTTATTACATTTTACTATTTTGTTTTCATGTCAAAAAATGTACAGTGAATTGTTTTAAGTTAAAAGTTTTATATTTTTCCAATTTAACTTATTAGATACGTCATAGGTGACTATCATTCTTTTTTTAGAAACAAAAAACTTCAATAAAATACATACTATATGGAAATACCGTATAAAGTACAAGTAATATAGACTTTAATTTAGTTTTGGGTTAGTAAAATATAAAATACGCTAAAATTAACTTTTTTGTAACTTAATAATAAATTTAAAAACATGTGTAAACTTTTATAACTTCACTGAGTTAAACAAAAATGAAATTAACTTTTAACGTTTTCTTATTGATGCATATTAACTTAACTGAGTTAAAAAAATCATTAACTTGACCAGCCTTGCATACATATTATTATTTACTCAAAGTTCTATAGGTAGGTATGGATAAATTGTTTCACGCTTTATTAAAAGATATTATGTCATTACTCATTTACTATTTTTTTCTTATTATTACGTCTAGATCGAAGTCTTACAACAGATAAATTATTATTATGACATAAATCACGATGCCACAATTTACGAGTTTGTAAACTTCCACAGTCCTACTAAAAACATTTCAATAACTACCTATATAGTATATATACACTAGTCAGCCATCAGAACAATGCTATACTTTGCTTGTTATTATTGTTATTTAAAAATTCGGAAGATGGACCATTCGGTATAGACCAACAATTCTATAACAATGGTTAACGCTCACATATGTAGTAGCAATATTTTTTTTTTTATCTAAGAATTTTATTTTATTGCTTTTACTTTTCTGCTCACAAGAAGTTGAACCATTTTAGATTCTGAACGGAATGATTTTACAATGAGTGTTGTATTATTTTTATTTTATGTCTGTAGGTACTCATACACAATATACCTATTATGTGTAGTAGAAATAATGTTTCGATTTTCAACTTTGAAGGTGATTACTGATACTAAATTGGATCTAATATTATAAAGTTTATACATTTAAGAGGTAAAAATTAAAAATTAATGGTATGTTTCAAAAATAATCAAGAACAAAAAAAAATTAAGGAGAACGGATATTTGTACACACTGCAAAATTATTTGATACAACTCAACTACGAATAATCTAAAATACTTGAAAATGTCACAATGTTTATACCAGCATTTTCTATACATGATAAGACTTTCAAAATATTTTAACGTTTATTTTTGAGTTTTTTTATATACTTTATACATATAGGCATTTGATATTTTTTTTATAAATTTCAGTAAACAAATTTCGTTTAGTTAAACACCTTGAAAATTGAATACAAGGTTCCTCATAAGCAGTTTATACTGAAATTAAAATATCTAAGTATATATTATAAATATAATTTTTTTTTAAATTTGAAGTTCAAATTTGGACGAAATCAATATTTAAACGAAGAATAATGATTTTAGTTATTTTGCTGCACAATTCAAAATAATTTCATAAGACTTCTACGTATATTATTAGATTTAAATACACATTTACATTTTTACAACATTAAGATTTATTTTATGCTATTGCCTATTTATAGTTTATACTGTATTACTAATAGTAAAATAAATTACTATAATAATTAACAACAACCTAATATTTATTCTTATATGATAAAAGGATGACAGATCGTCTTCGCACAGAATCGTTTTTCTTAGGCAATAATTTATCATTGAATTCAAACTTAACACATCCATTACAATGAAATACTCGAATTCTACTGTACAGTAGAGCAGTTTCCTACTTTTCCACTTTTTTATGTTTATTTTATATTATAATATGATATTACATATCAAACACAATATATTTCAAATAAGTACGTTTCATAAATAACTCATAATTATGTACTTATTACATGTGAGCGCAGTGTGCTTCTTCATCGATAACACTTATAAACTATAATGCATACCTGCAAAGTGTATCGAACGTGAATAATATTATATAGACCACCAGTAAACGCTACTTTGTATTGTATTTGTATAATACAATATTTATATACAATATACGCAGTCGTAGTATCTGTGTATATAAGCAGCTGACGCCTTTCGTTTTAATAACTGTTATCACAAACTAATATAATACTCAATAATATTAACTGGATAATATGATAAATGGTTACAGTGTCAAGCAGGCGTTTTATAACAATAATAATACGAAAAAGAAGAAAGTTTGGAACTCGCTAGTTGTAATATACATATCCTCTTCAGACAGAAAATTACAAAAGAATTTGGACATTTTGACCAATCGGAGAAGTCTCAATTACGCACATTCGATTGAGTAGCCCACCGCCGCCAACTACCATTGAATAACCCCCCAACTACTGTCTAAAACAGGTTTCAACATTTCCTGTAGTAAAAATGTGAACAGGCCAAATACAGATGAAAACATCAATGGAGAGAAGTATGCGTGATGCGTAACCTTCGCAATACTACGGAGTACGGATATAGTTTTGTGTTATTTTACACGATAGTAAAAACAGTATCATGTACATAATAAATAATTGGAAAAATAAACTTTTATTTCAAGGCAATCCACAAATAATTATAAAATGTAAGCAGCTATTCGTAATAGCCAATAGGTAATTGGCCAAGTAATAAATGATAACACATACTATACTCTAACATACATATACCTAGTAAATTAAGACCGAGACAAAAGCATCTTACTTTTAATAATGATAAATTTTCATTTTAAATGATAAATTCAATAATATATTTTTGAAGTTACATATAAATATCACAACAGTTTCACTTTTTATAAATTATTATTATTATTTTTTTTTTTTAATCAAAAAGTTTTGGCACGACCAACAGCTATAGAGTTCTACTTTCCTAAAAATCTACTCAATTAATCATTCTCGGAGTGGCCCTTTCAGAATATCAACTGTTTGAGTTCATCGACCCTATAGATACCTACAAACTACTGGTAAAGAAAATTTCAAATGACCCATTTAATTGTTTTGATTTAACTACGAATGTTTTATAATTATTAAGTTGTAAATTCAGCATGCTTATTACTATTAGGTATCATAAACTATTCCAAAAAGTCATCAAACCTCCCTTGGTCCACCAGTCTACCCATTTAATGAAATCCGCTCATAATCTGATTCATATATATTATTATAATATAATACGTACATTATATATTGTATGTAAGTTATTTAGTTATAAGTATATAATGTTAACCAATGCTTTTTTTAATATTCACTATCTATAGCTTTTCTGTAAGTCAAATATTAATTGTGGGTCTCTTTAGGATTCTAAGTGGAACAAGGAAACTACATTTTAAAATCAAACATTTGTTCATTATTTTAGAGGTCTTCTATTTACTAAGTTTCAAGTCCCACTGTCAATTTAAAATAAAATAATTGAACACTGTTGGTACATCAGATGGACATGTGCATCATGGCATGCTGCTAACATTTGCAGAAAAAATGTGTGAAAAATTAAAATTTAATACAATAGTATCTAGGCACTCTAAAATAGTTAGATGAACAAAACAGAAATTTATAGTAACAAGTTTCTTACAGTAAAAATGTTCCAATAAATGATTTAATTATTACAAATACGGCATATGTGAATGCGGTGAACATCAGACAATGAATACTTAGTCATCTATATCACGAACCCAACAAAATACAACAAGGATTCCTAGTACACAAGTGAATACAAACGCTTTATAGATGTAGCACATTGGATACAATATATGATTTGACAAAGTACCGTTCGTTACGGATTAAGATTGATGAGACTTATTTTTATTTAAAATATTATTTACTGACATTGTCCGGTATACATTAAAATTTGTTAATTTTTTATTTGTTGACACATAGTTATTACTTTTATTATTAAATTTAATCTGTGAATTATTGGCAAGTCAACCCGGACACGAGAAGAAGAAAATTATTACAGCGGTTCCAAGTACAACGCACTTCTAAAGCACACGGCTAAATCACCAACCTGTAAGAGTGATCTCCTAAATAAGATCCAGATACATTTTTAATTATAGATCTGTATTATACTACGATAGGTACTACTACAGTATTTCGTATATTAGTGTTTATAATCAATGGTACTACTAATACGACTTTTTTTTAGATCGAGAAACTAAAATATTATAATAGCGCATTAAATATTTGGTCGTCGATAATTTTACACACTCCGTATTCTCTATTCATATAGTTTTACTCGAAAATATCAATTTTAAATATCCTATTTCAATACTGGATAATGAATTTCAGAACCAATCAAACATTCATTGTATATGAAATACCTACTCTTAATATACGTCATACAACAGAACCATAATTAACATAATTCATCGCGAAATATGCATAAGCATACAATGGTAATTATACGAATACAATACGAATATTATAAGATGATCATGTCGTTACAAACAAGAGAATTTAATAATGAAAGAGTATAATATAGGTAGGTTCACTGAATTGAGGATAGCTAATACATACACAAGTTGATATACTTTTGTAATTATAGTTATTAAAATGAATTAATATTTAAAAACAATAAAACTGAACACATGAACTATTATTTTAAAGCATTTTAGATTCTGAGTAAAACACGGAAATTATTAGTTTAAAGCTAATAATAATATGTTTATGTATTTTTACGAGTTTTTTCTGTTAAAACTCTTTAGGATAGTACATTAGTTTTCTTTATTGACTACTTAATACAAGATTGTATTGGTAAGTCTTATTTAAATTGTATAGTAAGTACCTAGTTTTTAGAAAATAAAAAAATGAAGAGGACGGTATACCCGTATGTGATTGTCTCCATGTACAACATAGCAAAAATTGTTTCATGAAGGCAAGAACCACTCAGGCTGTAGTCCAAGTTAAGCAACCAAATTTTCACACTAGAAATAGGAAGATATTGACTTTGCAGTGTTGTTAATAATTTTTCGATATCATGATTACGCAAGAAGTTCTTATTGTTTAAAAATGTATTATTTTTGAGTTTTTCAAACTTGAAACCCTTTTTTTTTAGTTCTGATATTGGAAAATAAAAAATAACGTTGCATTTCCAATGTTTTCTTCTTTATAGTGTGAATATTTGATTGCTAATCTTGGACTACTGCCTGAGTAGTTCTTACCAGCGAACAACCGTTTTTGCTATGTCTTACATTTGAAATACGAAGACAATACAAAAGGATAAAGCGTCCTCATAATACAAAACTTACAATTTTAAAAAGCACAATAATACAATTTTAGATTTTATAAACTCGTTATAAATGTTCATTGAATAAAAGTAATTTACATTAGGTATAGTCGGTACATAAATAATGCAGTAAAAAGCAAGGAAAGGAATGAAAATAATGTAATATTAATATTGTAGGTAAGATAAAAGTATTTTATGGATTATAAAACTAATTCTATTTCATTTTTTTTTTCATATATATAGGTAATGCTTGTACACGAATTCCTCGTTATTTTAGTAGTAGACTGGTGCCTAAGTTTCAAACATTTCCTGTTTGGATGCCTGTTCGCTTTCAAATTTAATACTATGTTCATATGCATGCATGTTCTCACATGTTTCTTGTAACCCCGTAATAGTTATCCGGTTTATACGTGTTTCGTAATCGTTTACGGTTATGCCTAATTAGTGAATACGGAGATATTGTAATTCTCAATGTTGAATTTATTTTATTTCAAATCTATGAATAATCAACTAAAATCCTATAGCCTTTAGATAAGACAAATGCACATTTAGATTATCTAACTTATTTGTTGATATAAATGTTTACAAGATTGTATTCTTGTTCTATAAATTACATTTAAAAGGTATCTCTATTTCATTTAAAATATTATCATTAGAGGCATTGAGTATGCATGTATTATGCAATACATAATCAATGCTAGAGGATAATCAAAAGTTATAACCCAAAAGAAACAAACTAAATGTTATTATTTTTTGACATAAAATAAATAAAAAATAACCTACTTACCTATCTTTATAGAAATTAATTATGATACCTACATAAAATTATATATCTAGACGCTAGACGTGTATTAGTGGCTAAGTACATACATTGCTAGTAGTAAGTATATTATAAATATATTTAAATAAGAAGCATAACAAAATATTTAGAGATACAAGTTAAATACCACAATACCCATCATGCCTAATTATACTAGAAAAACTGAACTTTTTAAAAATGTATTCAACTCGTTGCATTCAATAATGACAGCTTATATTAAAATGTGATTTCACATTGTTTTTCAAGTTAAAGAAATATTAAATCTACGTAAGAAAATATAAAAATATAATTGCATAAAAAATTAACTAAAAGCAATAAATTATTTTTCCAATAGTAAATATTGTAAATAAGTTTAAACAAATGATAAATATTTAAAAAGGGTTATAACAGTGTAAAAAATACGAGTTCAACTTTGAATCTTTATAACTTAAAATATATAAATGACAGACAAGGTTTTATTTGGCAGTATTTTTTTAAAATAATAAATAAATGTATACTAAAACTATCATAATAATGCAACAATGCAACATATTTTAAAATTCATTATAAACAAAAAAAAGTTAAATAAAGGAGAAAATTATGAAAAAGTTGACTTTGAGCATGCATTTTATAAATATAGAAAATATATTGCGGCACATATAAAATAAACTGATTCAAAATACTCAACTAATTGTCGACCAAAATTAATTTTAATAAAAAAAATCAGATTACTTACGTGGGACTGTACCATTAAAATGGTTCTTGTGCATTGACATGCCATTGGATAAAGAATTTGATATTACTGTGGTGTGGCTCTGTTCCATTGTTTGCAAAGATGAACACTCTTTACAAGTATAAGGACCCATGGTAAATACCTGAAGGAAAATAAGGTAAAAAAAATTGAATAAAAACCAAAGTAAAAGTAGATTTATGTTATCAACATTTATAAATTTAATGTAAGACAGGAAGCACTCCTTTCCTATCGGAAGACTGGCATAATGGTAGCTGGTAACTAAAATATGATGGTAATGATTTAGGCAAAGTAATACATTGAGGTGGTGGGGAGAGGGAATTCCTATTGCCCATATGAAAGACGATAAATTAGTTTTATTAACACGCACCTAAGCATCTTAAGGAGAAATTACCGTGCAAAATTATACATAATATGGTACATAGCTATAATTTCAAAATAGAATTTAATTCATTAAAATAATCTTAAGCATTATATAATTATATACTCTATATTATAATTTAAAAATATTACATAAAAATATAGGATTTATTTATTTGTATTAATAATGCATTATATTACATAGTTTTCAAAATTAATTAATTATGGCCATAAAAATTTTTAATCAATAATATTGAGTAATATTGTTACTGTTTAATACTAAAAGTAATGTAGACTGATTTATTATTTTTTTTTATAATAGTCAGCGTAATTAAAAAATTAAATTAAGAGCAAACGACTTGGCGATTTAAATAAATGTTTGTTAAAGACGACAATAGTATACGAATGTGTTTACATTATTTATCTGTCCAACTCCAAATCAAATTTACATTTAAAAGAATTCATACTTTGGTTAGTTTTAATACTAGAGTACATTGATCTATAATCAAATTGAAAGTCAAGAACGTAATATTTTCACCTTGGTTTGTCGTCATTTTTTTCGATTTCTTAATATTGTAAAACAAGTTATGTGCTTAAATTTTAATTCAGCAATAGGTAGTTAAAATACGTATACAAGGTACAAGTATGGCGGAGGAAATGATAAAATACAAATATTAAAACAGTCAATTCATTTAAAACTAGTTAATGCATCTAGTTACTAAAAAATCACTTTTACCATAATATAAAATTATCTATACCTTCCCTATACCACTATTAGGTACTACAATATTTCTAGAATTAGATTTTTATTTTTTTTAATAATTAACTTGCATTTAATGGTATGCTTATGTATTATCTATATTTATAGTTGTATAACAGAAACAAAATAAAATAACTGATATTTATCCAATGATAAATAAAATGTATTTTACTTATATAACAAATACTAGCATAAAATAATAATAAATTAATATACATATGAATCAAATATAATTTTTTATTTTAAATGGGGAGACTAAGAATATGTATTAAACAAAAAAAATCTTCAAATGTCTCAAGACTTAGTATTTGGTTTACCCATAAATGCTGCTCTCTCGTCGTAAAATTTAGTAGTAAAACTTGAGCAAATTAAGTAAAATGAAAAAAGTTATATTATCCATATGACGCAAAAAAACAACAAGTTAGCACATTAAGCCTTCGTAACAACATTAGAAATAGGCTGGCATTTAAAAACCATGATAAAATTAATTAATTTTTAGTCAGTTAGAGGTATTTTATAATCAAATTAATCGATTTTTCTTAGCAGTGTATTAAAATTAAATTAAAAAAACGGGAAACAACATTATTTGTAAATTTTCATACATTAAATTAAATTAAAACTATAATATTGACTATTGTAATATCTACCTCAAGCATAATGCTTAATACTCAAAGGTATAACCATAAGAAATTATTGTGATAATATAACAAGCACTACAACCTGTTTGAAGGAAAAGAGAGTGACCTTCATTCCATCAGCTGCAGCATGCGTGTATTAGGACTATGAACTTGGGATATTAAACGTAATTTCTATGAAAAATATTATGTTTAGAGGAATTTATTGTTAATAAATTATAAAAATATTAATAAAATCATCAGCTTGGTTAAAAGTTAAAATATCTACTAGAAATTTTGAAACATAGCGTAAGTACCTAACTTTTTAATTATGAAACACCCACTTCGATAAATTTTAGTATTTACTGCAGATACCTATATCACTATAATAATGTTTAAATAACCTCTTACATTTTTAATAGCTAATAATATATTAACAAATATTTATTTTATCATTCAATTAAATAATTATGAAATATTATAGCCTATGAGTAGACAATATAATATGAAGTTACATGTGTTTATCATTTTCTACCACCTAAATTAAAATTTTATAAGTTGTGTTTGTTTTTTTCAATTTATGCTAATTTAAATTATAAACAATTATTAATTATTATTATAGTTAAATAGCCTTTTAATAAAATAGTTAAATCATAAATTTACTAAAACATACTCTGAATTCTTAATAAGTATCTTTAAAATTATACTTCACACAATACTAAAGTACTTGGTACAAATTGTGCAATATAGAATTAAATCAAAATTGAAAATTACTAGTTTCTACAGAATTATGTTATGGTGCTGATAAATTAAAATCAAGTGTATTATTTTTAAGTTTATTTACTGATGTAATAAAATAATGTACAGAAATTTATCAATCGAATACAACTTACTATTTTTCACTTGATTGTCCAAATTTCTAAGAAACTCAAAGTGGAATAATTATTTTACCAGATAAGAGACGAAGGAAATCAACAATCACAACACAATCGAAACACGACCCTATGCGTTGCCGCATACATTGTCAACTGATAGTGCAATGGCAGATGTCTTTGCAAACGGTTTATAAATGAGCACATATCTAACAATCGAAACTATTCAATAAAAACTATCGATATTTTAAATATCAAACAAAAGTTGTATCGATATTTAGGATACGAATAAAATAATATCGATGTTTAAAGACAATCAATTATTTTGAACTAAAATGTATTATAAATTTATAAATCAATAACAAATTAAAAACAAATTATATCATGGTATCCTATTTTATTTAGTACACTATATTAACTACGGAAAAATATATAAAATCTTTAATTCGTAACTCACATTTTAAAGTGATATTTGCTTAAGCATATTTTATACAATTTAAAGCAACAACCAATTTTTTTATAATAACTATAACTATAGTAAAGCTATTATTTACGAAATTATATTTGTTAGCTAATATAAAATTGAGTTATTTTGTTACCACAATGAAATAACTACATTTAAAAAACAATTGTTAATGCAACTGTCCTACTATACACAGACATACAGAACTATTAGTACATAAAACGTGTAATATAATTTTAAACAAATATACATTTTTAAAACAACAACCTACTTACTTAAAGGACATAGTTAATTATTCTAAATTCATGGATAACTTAAATAAAAAAAATTCAATGATATTAAACTTGTTTCAGTTAATTAATAATTTATACTGACAAAATTGTATGGTTAATTAAAAATTGAAATAGCTACCTACACCTAATTGTATTTTTTAAGTTTTAGTACATATAAAACAAATTTTTGCAATTTAGTTTATGTATATGTATATAATCTGATTTTAACATTTAATTATTATGTATTTATATTTTTAATATGATAAGCTACTTCCAATTTTAACTAGTGTATTTACAACTAGTGCGTATTTTTCGGCAGCGATGGAGGAGGGTGCTGGGTGTGCATTCGCACTTATGTTTTGTAAAAGGTATAAGCGCAATTAGGAGGGGCTTGAAAAAAGGCTTGACCTCCCAGTTTTATCCATAGACCCCCAGTCTTTTAACCATATTTTAGTATAATATATAAATGATCAGGGTCTGTGCTGCTAACAAAATGTTTTACCCTTCTCTCGCCTGACATAAATAAAATGAAAACGCCTATAATAAGTGTATTAAATCTGATATTAAGATAAAAATTTTTAATTTATTTTGTACTTTTTGAATAATTTTTGATTATGATCCGAAATTTGACCAACTACTAAGAAAAAATTAATAATAATAATCAATTATATTATAAAGAACAAATAATAATAATAATACAAAAGGTGGACAAATGGATACCGCTATGCAGTAAGCATGGTGTCGAGTGGGTCAATGTGAAGGATTTTCTAAATTTTAACTCAAAAATATGTGATAAATTTGCGTATACGAAAAACAAATCTGAGCGGAGTTAACCATATATCATAATATATTATAATTATATTGTGATTAATATTTATTTTACTAATATTATTATGGTAGGTAGATGGTTAATAATTATTGCCAAAACATTATAATTATTAAATTATTGATATTTAATTGTAACAGTATTGTGCCTCAGTGGCGTAGCCAGGGGGGAGGCTGAGAGGGCTGCAGCCCCCCCCCCCCCGAAATGTTAATAAAATTTAAAAATTATTTGAATGGTCTATGGTATTCGATCAAAAACTAAACCACCGCTGTGTAAAAAATTGATCAGCCCCCCCCCCCCGAAAAAAATCCTGGCTACGCCACTGTTGTGCCTATATTATATTGTTGTTGACTTTTGAATCAATACCGACTTAAAGTTTTAAGGTGTGATAAGTTTGTGGTTAATTAATAGACAATATAGCTTAAAATCTAAATATTATTAAGTCCCCATGAATAATATTCTCGAAAATAATTAAAAACGGTTTTTAAATGTGTACTTCAAATGTCTAAAAAAAGTAGAGTATCTTAAATATTTTTAAACAGCATAAATAACAACTTTTGAGGAACCATGTATTACATTTTCAATTTTTTTTTGAATGAGCAAAAAAAATAGTGTGGACAAAAAAATTAAAAAGTAGAAAATTTCAAATATATTATTAATAGCTCAAAATGATCATATTACGTAAAATATTATATAATAAACAGTCGATGAAAATTTTAAGTATCAATATGGTCATTTGTTTTTAAATCACAAAGAAATAAGAAAATTGATTTTGTCAAAAACTAGTTTTACTAAAAATTCCAGTTTTCTCCTATTTATTTTGTTTCCTACTTATTAAGAAAAGTACTGGGAACTTTTTAATTTCGACCAACTAAAATACTAATAAGATTCACCTCCTTTTAAATAAAATATCGAAGTTAAAAACTGAAGCATTTTTTCTATACTCTAAAAAGTGTTTTTTAACACAAAAAAAATCACACATTGTAAAACGAATACATTTATCACCACCCTCAGAATTTAAAACAACAATCCAAGGTGCTTAAAGTGATTACTGACAACAATTTACATCACATAAATTGTCGACTACCAACGGATATATACAGGTTTATAAATATAGATATTTGTGGCCTGGCAATGATTTTAATATGGCCTACAAACAATTAAAAACTGAAATGAAACGACTGATTTACAAATAAATTACAATTTGCATCCCCACTGCATCAATGTAAAAAAACAATTATATGAAAAAATAATTATTATCAGAATTACACGTCACTATTCAGATAAAACTAAATGCGACATCTAAGAATATATTTAAAGCCTTAAAGGTAATCAAAAACTGACGTGTTTGTAGTGCTGCAGATAAACGGAGTGTGTCATAATAATATTATGTATATTCTGCCACTGCGCATTGTTCAATTTCTAAGTGTATCATGATTGAAGACCATCATTATATAAAATACCATATTATAAACTACATTATCGATAACAATTTATTGATGAATTACGAACACGCAATACAATTTATCATCTTAAACATTTTAATTTACAATTTACTATAATAGTTAATAGCGTGTGAATTGATAATGTTTATAAAAACTTTAATCAAATCAATAATATAAATTTTTTTTTAAAGAAGTTTCTGTACTTATTTTAACAAGTATTACCTAAATTACCTTTATTGTTTTTAGATCTTTTTATCATATACACTGCATAACAATGGTTCAACTTTAATGTTTACAATACAGTTTTGTTATATAATATGATAAATACTATGTCAATATTCTAAACTTTTCAGTTAACTAATAAGTAATAACTCGAATATTAATCTACCAAACACTGCAATACCTATTGGCTATTATCCACACAGCTACACAAAACTTGATATTTACAATATACCTCATCATCTGCAGTATCACAAAGTATTTACTATTTACTAAGTTTCACTATACCAAATAATTTTGACCTTGAAAATGTCTGGACAGTCGTAAATAAAACCTGATTTCCAAAACGTAAATATGTAATTAAATTGTATACATTAGCTAAACAAAATCATGCAGACTGTGCAACACACTTATAATATTATATATAGGTATATTAATAAACACCTATAGTACCTACGTATATGCCAATGAGCTAAACAAGAAGTATACAGTAAGTAGTAACCATCACGAGTAGGACTCTCGACTAAACACTATAGTCTGTATGGAGAACTATACAATTTACTAACATACATAGAATTAAATGAATCATTTTTAACAAATTGCTAACTGTTCTTTATACTTGAAATCTGTTTTCATACATACAACTTCTTTGACGTCACTGGAATTTTGTTATTGTAACTATGAGAAAAACATTTTTCTATACTTACTAGACAATTATTTTTAAATTTAATGAACAAAACCTTATTCGAAAATTCTTAATAAATTACAATTAAAATTATCCGTAAATATATTGAGTAGGTCAGTGTGATGGATGTGTTAAATTTGAATACAATTACAAATTGTACGTACACAAATGTATACAGTATGTCTCACGGTGTCGCCTCTATTTCTAAGAATAATATATATTATAATACATAGTATAAATATTTAAATCAGGTACCTACTACAAGTAATTTATATTTTATCATTATTTACCCAATACAAAGAAAGTTCGACTTAATTTTTTTTATAAAAATCATTGGGTATATTATATTCTGAATTAGTACAAACAAAG